AAGAGACTGAGGTCACGCATGATGACCAGGACGCCATATCTCCAGCGCCGGAGAGCAGCGAACTAGCGAAAACTGCTTGAAATGCGTGCACTTTCGTCCTGCTCCAGCATTTTCATTTTTCTTGATCGCAGAGTTTCGATTTTTTCGCTGTGTACCCTTGGAAATACTACCAGTGAAACCCACGCAAATTTGAGTAACTCAGCACGAGGAAAAGTCTCAAAATTCTCAACTTTCGGGTTGCACTCCCACGCTTTTCAAGTGCCGCGATCGCGGCTGAACTTACGAGCGATTTATCTCAAGAACCGTTGATCACAGCGCGTCGCGGATGGGTTCTACGGCACGCTGAGAGTTTTCTCTTCAAGGTAGATATTTGGATCGTTGAATTTGCCCTAGTTTTGACCGAGTTACGGCCAGTTGAAGTCTCGCAGTCGAGTGTGTAGAATTCTACACATTCAAGTATGGGTCGGCTCTCAAAGGGTTAACAGGCTGTAGCACTCTTCCTGTGATATTTTTGGTAATTTTTTTATCCAAGCCACTGACCATCAGTACCTCAATATGAACATGCATTCACCCTACAGACATGAAAATTCATAAAAAATGAAGATTTTTAATTCAAAGAAGCGCATGTTTCAGAGTTCAATTTGAGAGATTTAATTTGTCAATGAAAGTTCAGTTATATTCCAGTGTAAAAAATGAGAATATAAGCAACTGAAACAAAACTTTTTGAAGTTCTTGAAGTCATCAATGGCTACAAATTATCAACGCAGTGTGCAAAGACGCCTATTTTAAAGAGCATTTTTCCTTAAGTATGTTCCTTTTTTGTCACCATTCCCCCGAGTTGGTGAAGATTTGGTGATCACAGGAAGAGAGCTAGATTAACAGCCTACAAACTTTAAATTTATGCAAGCACATACACCTACACGCGTGCACACACACACACGTACACACGTACACACACACACACACACATACACACGTGCACACACACATACATAGAGAAAACAGCATAGAGGTTGACCGAAACCGGCTACACTACCAGCAGGCTGTACATGCGGGAGGTACACTTGCCAGTACCCCGGTAGACCGATGGGCGGGCTAGCCGCTAGTACTGAGCGCGCCACGTGAGGGCTTTACCTGTGCACCCAGCACCAGCAGCTAAGTCCCTGTGCGATAGCCTCCACATCGCAGCGAGGTCTCGCACCCAGTGTCTGCTTGCTGCACTATGCCTATTTACTAATCTATCAATTTTGCAATTTCATTATGGATGATTTTGTACTTAGGCAGCGCTAGCAGCTATGAAAGCTTTAGAGCTGGTCCAGTTTAACCTGTGGAAGTGAGTATATGGAGTAGTTTTGTGTAGGGAGGAATGGATTCCGCTGTTCAAATGCTTCGGTCAAGAACCCAGTGAAACTGACCTTTTTTTTAGACGTGCCTCAGTCTCTCTCTCTCTTTCTGTTACAATCAAGCCAGGTCAACTATAGTGGTTCAGTCCTGCCAGCTCTCTACCCAGTCCCGTACCTATGCAATTCCACCTATATCCCAGTATCCCCCACCATCCACCTAGAGTCTCTTTTTTATCCTGCCTAACCCAACTACTAATCATAATCATAACCACCCCGACAACAATCTGCCCTCTTCTTCCCATTGTAATGCCAACCGGTTTTACCCTAGCTCAGCTTTGCTCCTTGAAAACTCCCATCATTAACTGCTTCTATGCCATCTATTCCCAACCAGCGCTTATAAAGCCCACCCTGCAAAGAACACACCACTACCAATCTCCCCCTATCATCAGTGTGGCCCATCTTCTAGCATAACACTATGCCCTTTCCCACCACTACCGTTACTAAGGACAATACCCATATGCCATGTTACCGTGAAAATCAGCCACAACTACAAGAGACAATTTTTAATCATGAAAGATCCTAGCCCTACTGGCCCTAGAACACTAGAGGTACGTGTACGCTACAACAATTTCAAGCACCACACCTATCTCATAATCAACAATCAATTCCAACCTATTCCAGAATGAGAGCCAATCACCCAGTACAAGCTTCTTTTGCCCAAGTGCTAGCCATCTACTTGCCCCACACCCTAAACCGAGAGCGTAGCATTTGAACAGCGATTTTCAAAGTAACATGTTTTATGAAAGGTCTTTGACATGGCTGTAGAGAAGAGTCAAACTGGACCGGCTCCAAATCATATAAAAATGGGTCGGTAAATGGGTCATAAACATGGGAGGGTTTCTACTCCCTCCCCCTCCGTCTTCATCTAATGTCTAATTATTTCAAGTTTTTTCTGACTAGCTGTATAGAACATAATAATTATGTGAATGTATGACAAATCAGTGCGAGTGCATGCTCGTGTTTCCGCAGGGGTTGGGGTACAAACTACAGTGCACATTAGAATGGGGCCAAGGAAAGGGAGGTCGGTGTGAGAATGAACACGGGCCAAAGTACACACACACGCGTGCACACACACACATGCACAAACACACATACGCACAGATAGTAAATACGCTTAGAGGCCTAACGTTATCTACCCACAGCTAAGATACATTGTAAACACCTACTCTCTGGGCCGATTATGAACGCACGCACACACCACACTGCTTGCCTATACTATGCAACATAGTTTTGTGCATCACCTTTATTACTTTCACACTCTCCAATCTCCATACATACACACTGGCCCTAAGAAGGGGAAAGGGTGGGAGCTGTACAACAACTGATAAGGAAATGTGTATTCTGAGCGGAGCAATGAAGCAAGCAAGAGAGCAGCCCTAACTTCTACCTAAGCAGCCAACAGACACCGAGAAACGGACTCACGCCACCCGCACTAGTGCACTGCAGAGACGCTTGACCCTTGGCTTGCCGCCCGGTAGATAGCGGTGCCGAGCCCACTGCTCCGGCGCTGTAGCGTTGTGGCGTGCCGACCGGACGAGGCGTTAGCGGTCGCCGGGGGAGCAAAAATGAATGCCTAACTATCAGTAATAAATTGACCTGCTCTGAACTGTTACTTTACTGAAAACACTTCTAAACAATTACCTACAATGTCCTCTTCACCTAGTATAGTACACCTGGTTGAAGTGAAAGACCGCAAACCCGCACATAACTGGAGAAAGGGTAGCAACAGTTCTCTGTTCTACCAGTAGAAGATAGTTTATCGCGCTCAAGACGAGACTGAAAAAAACACCTGAGCGAAGAAGAAAACCATCCTCCTCCTTCAAGAAACAACGACAAATGAACAGGAAAGCAAAGAAGCTCGCTGGCTATCCTCTCCGAAAACAGCGCGTGCTCCAATGCTGAGAACTGTGTTCTTGCGCTCCCGGTGCGAAGGTCGCACTTTGACCCCGCCGAAAAGATAGCGGCTCTTCGCTGTGCATGTGTGAAGGCAGGGGACGGCCGGAGCGAAGTGCCGTGGGCACTGCACTCAGCCACTGGATCCAGGCAGGCAGGCACATGGCCCGGTACGCGGTACACTGCAACAGGTCCAGCAGACGGCGCTAGAGAAGAAGGCCGGGGTGCTAAACGTCGCACCAGTGTGCTAGACTGACAGCAGCAGCACAATCATGATTGTGTCGGTTCACACGCTTCAGGGTGGTACCGTTGGAGAGCTTGGCCTACATTTTGTAGCTTGATCACTCTCAAACTTTCACAGAACTCGATCGTCCTGCTGCACCTACATTTTACAACACTTCTCGGGGCACTGACTCTCCTTCACGGCTCCAGCCTGTCCAGGGGAAGACCAAAAAAAGTGCTGGCACACTGGTACTGCATGATGCTATAGCCTTATAGCCTAATATACAGGTCAGACATGTCTGGAACAGCAACAACCAGACGTGCTAACCATGCACCAGCAGTCTCACCGCGCTGATTTCACAACAAATGCATGCAGATTGCACACTCAGTGTTAAGGTACCCTGTTTATAAACATAGATCTACACTGTACGTGACGTTGTAACGTTGCAATCATCTGTACAATCAATCATGATTGTGCTTTTCTCTTTGCATCGGGTATAAAAATAATACGTTTTTGAGGTACGTAGATCTACGTACCCATTCCACCTTCCAGCAATACCTCGACTATAAAGGACAGATTACAGTGGGCTCCACTTATAACGATCTTGCATATGCATGTACATGTAGCGAAATTCGTGATTATAGCGAACCATTATCCATGTCCCAGTTTGAACCCATACAAAATTGACCCTTTATAGCGAGCAGTTTTCGTTTAGAGCGAACCAAATCTTGTAGGACTGCATGTGAACCAAGTGCAATCATGCTGTCATGGGGCAAAATTAATATACATGTACAATGTCAGTCATGATTAATTTTGCTGCTTGTGAAGTTGTGTACTGTGAATGCATTTCTGTTATAACGAACTTCGGCAATAAAGAACTAATATTATTATCCTGGACAATGGTGTTCGTTATATCAGGAGTCGACTGTATGCCCCCTGCCCTGGCCATACTGCAGTTTCACCAGTGCACTGTTCTGTACAAACGCAGACTGTTATGCTGCTAATGCTGCTAGTGCACATGCACTAATATACGGCGTGCTGGGAGGTTTGGACGAGGGAGAGAGGGTGTTATCACATGCCTGATCACAAGCACAGCCAGTACTTCACCCCATGCCAAGTTCCCCCAGCCTCCCAGATCATACCTAGGCTGATAACAGAAGGGTAAGATACAACCGTGACGTGACGCTGTACGGCCCAATCGACGTACACTCAACATACAACAACGGAATTAGGGAGGTTAAGATGCACGTTATTTCTGACGCGACGCGAAAGCTCCGCTCGCGTTATTTGGCTCGCGCGTCGAAAAACAACGCGAGTGACCTGCAGCTTACGTCGAAATTTAGAGGTTAACGCCAAATTTGACGTGCATTTTAACCTCTCTATTATTACGTTGTTGTTATCTCTTTGACCCACTTCATGACCCACTCGTGAAGAATGACTGGCTTCACGTTCCGCATTTTAGTTACATTCAAAGGGGAGAGCAATCCTCGTGTAGTCTAGGAGTAGCCTAGGACCACACTCAACGTTTGTATTGGTTATTAGGAGAGACAGAAATAATCTGATATCTTCAGCCATCGTGCATGGCTGGTCAGTATTCCAAAAAAAATGAAGCTCCGTCTATTAGATGTGCTTTGAGTTTGGCCAGCGGAAAACTGAGCAAATTTACAAGCAGTATGTGGCTTAGAGCTAATTCCAATGATGCAAGCTTGGCAGTGCCGATAGAGAGAAAGAGAGAGAAAGAAATAAAGGAAGAGAGAGAGATAGAGAGGTAGATAGATAGGGAGAGAGAGATAGATAGATAGATAGAGAGAGAGAGAGAGAGAGAGAGAGAGAGAGAGAGAGAGAGAGAGAGAGAGAAATCCTATGCAAAATGCAGCGACTAATTTAATTTACTATGGGCTTGCACAGCGGCATCAGTCGATATGACGGCAGCCAATGCCACCAAAGTAAGCCGTTGGGTGATGCAATTGAAACAATATCCAAGTTGACAGCAGTTCCGAGCTATCGACCTATAGAAATGAAGACGAGAGAGTAGTCGGTGACATTCGTAATGGCACAAGCCAGAGGGAAATAGAAAAAAAAGGATAATTTGGTTCAAAGTAACCTCTGGCTGGGCGCATGGACAGCAGATAGCAGTGAGTGGGCGTCCATAACATCATATGATACAAGAGACACGGCGTTGCCTGCTGCGGAATCACTGCATGGCAGTTGCCGTTCAAATGCACGCGGCAATGCAGTAACTAAAGTCAAGGGAAGTGAGCCCATGTGGGCCGGTTTGAGGCGTAAGCCTCATAGCACACAGGTCAATGAATGGCATGCATATGTACAAGCGAGTCGACTCTAAACAGAGCAGACGACTTGCCTTCAGAAACCGGGCCTAACATGGATGCGGAAATGCACAATTGCAAGGGTTCTTCAAGACTCAAAGGAAGGCACTGTGAACACCGACGGACAGCACATCATGTCGGACACAGGGTGGCCATCTCGCTCATTCATCCACCCCAAAAACAGAAATTGTGGCATGACTTCTACGGCACTCTTTCTCCGGCACATTTTGCCTACCCGTCGGCCATCAGCAGGCCAATCGTGTGTTGTTACTTGCGCTTCTTGAACGGCATTCCGAGCGAGATGTGAGCGCCATCCTGTAGGAACAGCGGGCATTCCTTGTAGTGCTGAATAATCTTATTCATGGACTCAAAGCGATGCTTGCCGATCAGAACCTTGGCGTCCATCGTCACCTCGATCGGGAAATGTCGTACCCTGCGACAACAACAAGAACGGAGGGAGGGAAGGAGGGAGGGAAGGAGAGAGGAAGAGAGAGAGAGAGAGAGAGAGAGAGAGAGAGAGAGAGAGAGAGAGAGAGAGAGAGAGAGAGAGAGAGAGAGAGAGAGAGGGAGGGAGAGAGAGAGAGAAAGAAAGAGAGAGAGAGAGGGGGGAGGGGGGGGGGGAAGAGAGATAGAGAGAAAGATGGATAGATAGACAGATAGATAGATGAGAGAGAGAAAGCACAACTAGCTGAAATGTAACCCAGTTTCCATGGATAATTCTCTTCTTTTCTTCCTTAGATCACAATCTCACTTTGGCTTTCCAAGCCCTTTCATAGTGCTCCACTCGGCTGATCGGTTCCACTGACCTTGGCTGACTTAAGGCCTCGACATCATCGAGTGAGCATCCCACCAGTCTCAAGTCTAGTTCGGAAACTTACAACGAAAGCAGGATAAGGTTTTTCTGACGAATTGAGTTTCCCGTTGTGCAAACTTCATGCACAAATTATTCTAACAGGGTGAAATTATTTTTCTCCTCATGATTGAACAGGGTGAAACTCGAGTTACAAAATAGCCTTGTTCTGCCTTTGTTGCAAGGAAGCTCTGTCCCTTGTGGTATCACGCATTTTGTGCACAGAGGAAGAACTCTATGGAGCATGGCTGTTTGGAAACTCCAGTCACAGCATATGAACTCAATTCAAATATGTCATACACGGCCAGAGAATTGTCCAAATCATATATTTTGGGGGTGATGCCATTACCCAACACTGAGCGTTTGGGCCATGGCTCCGCTCTTATCTCTTTACTTGACATTTTCAGCGCAGATCGCTCATTGTCAACCACAGACTGGGAATATTTGGTACTGCAATGCAGTCCCTACGTATTTCGATCAACAACGGAAATCAGTTCGGATAACACCTGTACATTGTGATGTGAGTGCACAACGCCATGACACGACAAGAAGACGTTGCCACAACCTCAGAGGGCACTGCCAAAATAGCCATAAGCACTCACCTGCAGTTGTAGACAACCGTAAGAGCAAAGTCTCCAACCTGCATCAAAGAACAGAACAGCAATCAACACACACCAAGTGAGTGAGAAAGACAGCAGCAAGGAAAAGAAACAGGACGGCGAACATGGAAGCCAAGATGGATAAGATAAGGCCCCCAGTATGTACTGCTGTTCCAGGTTTGAGAGAGATTGTGCGAGTGAGTGTGTGTGTGTGTGTGTGTGTGTGTGTGTGTGTGTGTGTGTGTGTGTGTGTGTGTGCCTTGCAAGCTGTTGAATGGTGTGATTCCAGCACAAGTTGCTATGGCTAACATAGCTGTTCGCTATCATCGCTTCCGCGATGGGCAGGTCTGAGGTGTGAGGTGTGTGTGTGTGTGTGTGTGTGTGTGTGTGTGTGTGTGTGTGTGTGTGTCTGTGTGTGTGTGTCTGCCAATTCCGGAGGCGACAGCACCTGGAGCGCCATTTGAAGCACTGCCTACCTCTCCCCTAACCTTCGGGGAGCGGCGTGGCCATTTCTGGCAGCTGTCAATAATCAATAGTAGGGTGTGTGTCTGTGTGCGTGTGTGTGAACATGAGCGTGTGGATAACTCCTTACACGGTTGGTGCTCTCCCGGATAATGTAGTCTCCATTATTGCCGTCCTGCAGGTAGTAAGCAACAGACAGCCACACATTCTTGCTGACTCATACATTTACATACTGCGAACGCATGCTAGAAATCCCTTTGATGTCTATCTATTGAAAAAAGTTCAAAAACCCCCATACTAGTACCTACCGTACTAACGCAAATATAAGCTTATAAGTGAATTTTTGCTATGAATCCAATTTTCAAAAATGAAATATTTTCACCTAAACGCGCATGCGCGCTCAGAGTTCGTTTGCCAGAGTCTTTGTGTTTGACTAGGTCTTGTGGTGTCAGTTTCATGGTTCCTGTACGCTGTTTGCAGACTTTTATCCGTGATTGTTTCAAGTGAGAATTTTGGCAGTGCTTCGCCTATAAGAGCATGCGTTTATAAGGGATAGTGCACTTATATCCGAATACAGGCACATGTGTCTATATGAGCGTTCAAGAGCGGCAATAACCTCATGGCTGCCTTTTCTCTTGCGGGGGGGGGGGGGGGGGTATTTTCTGAAGGTCACATTTTGTAGACTCATTTGCCAATGTGAGAATGAGTACTGAGCTCCTAATACCTATACAATTTGTAGTCATCACTAGTTACAATAATTATCTGGTTTCCAGTTTCCACATCGGTTTAATAACATGTGGATAGGGTTTGGGGTGGGGACTGCTGTCCCTCAGCGGCAACTCTTCAACCACGCTAAATGATCCATTGCGGGCAACACACAATGCAGAAAGAGAGAGGCGAAGACGTACCGTTGTGAACATGGAAATCCGGCCGTACGACCCGAGGCCGGCGCCCCTCAGGGCGTACAGAACGTTGCATGCAGTGCACATGTTGATCGCATGTCTGCTTAGGGCTGAAAGGCCAGCACCCTGGGGGGGGGGGCTTGAACTCCGACCGGATTTCCATGTCCACGACAGTAGAGGAAGAGATATTGCTATAGAATACAGGTACACCATCTCCTTACCCTGGTCATGACCTCTTCGGCATCTTTTCTGGAGATCTTCCCGTGGAACCAAGCCTGACCACCTGCGCACAAAACAGAGTATTCACAGTTGTACAGCAGATCAATACAGTAAAACCTGTAACTAAAGACCACCGTGACTAACGATCAGCCTGGTACTACAGACCACTTGGCCGGGCACGAGCGGTCTCACATTCATACAATTATGGTTGTGCAGTGCAGACCTCTAACTAAGGACCACCTGCCACTAAAGACCGCTTTCTCTGGCCCCGAGGGGTGGTTGTTAGTCACAGGTTTTACTGTACCGGTGTATGGGTTCGACACAGTAGACTATCGTGCTTGTTGGGAGCCTGGTGTGCAGCAGAGATTTCCAGACTGGGACAGTGTATCTAATGTGTACACAGTACTAAGCCAAAATATAGCAACACTGATTATAGCGAGACGTAGTGATCACCAAATATGGCGTCAATATCTTGCGTCGGTCAGCAGCACACAGGCACATGGTGCAAGTGCGGACATTCTTTTTTACTACTAACACAGCCCTACTGGAAAACAGGAACAAAAAAAACGAGGAAAAGGATAACGACATACCGATATTCTTCTGGATCTGCTGCAGCACCTGTGGATTGACGGTTGAGCTGCTCGGAGAGCGTCGTATCGGCGATGGTGAGCGTCCAGTGCTCGGCGAGGCGCGGCCGCTCTGCATGGGAAGATCCAGAAAGGACTTCTCGGCCGTCGCTCGCCTGCCTCGGGAGCTGCTGCTTGAAGAGGCGCCCGTGGAACTGCTGCTGCTGCCGCCGCCGGCGCTACTGCTGCTGTTGCTGGCCACCGTAGTGGCATGCCGGTGTGGTGAGCGTGATGGTGCGGATGATGCAGGTGCAGACGTGACGGCAGGCGTGCCCATACTGCGACTACTTGTGGCACTGGACGTCAGTAGCAACTAGCACATACAAAAAGCAGGCGGTGCAATAGGTACACACACACGTCCCAGCACATGCACACACACACACACACATACACACACACACATACACACACACACACACACACACACACACACACACACACACACACACACACACACACACACACACATTATTGAACACCATGTTTCCCTGTTTCAGGTATGTGAATTAAGTCGCACTGGAGTAAGACACCAGAAACTGTATGCTCATTCAATTACACATAACGCCATGTAAATCCATTCGATAATTCCTGACGGTGCATACACCGCTCGATCACCAGTACACAGAGTCTGTCCCACAGGTCCGTCATGCAAACAAGAAACACATGGGATATCGTAAACAACAGCTCAGGCGACCGATATGAATACAAGAAACACCGATGACTTCACTGAGATTTACTCGGCGTATCTATCTTAGCTCCGGTTATTAGACCCTACAGGGTAAAATAGTTTGTTCTCTGGACATTGTGCAAGGAATACATTCATGCCAGAGAAAAGTCAAAGGGGCACATGTACAGTTGGCGCAGTCCTGGACAGAGAAATCACATGTACAGTTGGCGCAGTCCTGGACAGAGAAATCACATGTACAGTTGGCGCAGTCCTGGACAGAGAAATCCCACAACTCGTCAGTATCATATCTAGTGCCGAGGGTTACGCGACACTAGCACGCACACACACACGCACGTACGCACACACGCACACACACACGCACGTACGCACACACGCACACACACACGCAAGCATGCACACACACATCACTCTGCTCACTTGAGCACGGCGCTACTTTATCCACGATGTCGGATTTTTCTCTGGCCAGGACTGCCCGATGTGAAGACCTGCTGGCAACTCACCTCTTTTTCCCAGTAGCTGGCTGGCACCCAACCAGCCTGTCCGTTGCACTTGACCTTCCACCAGCCCTGTCCCTTGACCTGCAGCAGAATGGCAATGTCGCCCTGCTTGAAGCTCAGACAACTCGGCGCCATGGTGTTATAGTCGCACAGGGCGACGTACGTCTCACCCAGGTCGCCCTCCGAGGCCTCACCGCTGCCACCACCGCTAGCGGGGGAATTCGAGCCGGCGGTGCTGCCTGTATTCACGTATCTCTGTTCAGAGTCGGTGGACGATGATCCCGGTGTGCCGGCGGCATTCAGTGGAGCCGTGTTGACGTATTCTGGCGGAGCACTGCTGCCACCGCCTGATGACGGTACCGAGGCGGATATTGACGGTGATGACATGGAGGAAGGTATATGACCGCGGGATTTCCCCGTCGATGTGCCGGAGGTGGTCGACGCCGAGGCGTAATCAGCCTGCTCCCCACTCCTGCCATCACCTGAACAGTATGTTTGGAAAAAAGACGTCTTTATGGGGACACACACTACTATACTGTACAGGGAGAAAATTTCGTCTTTGTCAATAATTTCGTCCAACTCCAAAGCAAGGGAGTTTGTCCGTTTGCAACTTTCGGCCATGGATCATAATTCATGAGTGTATTGAAAAGCTGGACAAATCGACATAAGTCCGGCATTTAATGTGTCCAAAAGCTCCTTGGATGAAAAAGACGAAATTAAATTCCAGACGAATATTTCTGCTTATACAGTACAGTCAACCCCATGAATAGCAGCCACCTTGGGTGCATAACAACAACTCGTCACTAACCACACAATCTCCCGACCTAGTGACCATTCAACAGCATACGTTCAAGCTCCAGCATCACGAATAACGGCAACTCGTGAAGAGTCACACTTTTCTCATGCGCGGCTGAGGGTCGTTATTCAGAAGGTGGTCTAGTAATATTTAAAAGTGGACGTTTACAATTTACAAAAGAGAACTTCACATCGGAGCGATATCATTGGGTGATCATCTCGGATGTGCACACGTTGTACCTGGACTTTCTCTCCTGCTCCCGCGCGTGCCATCTCCACACGTATACAAGACGATGAGATAATTACATTCGTAAAGATTCTATTGACACGGCGATGACGAAACACAACTGGCCGTGACGAACTCGAGACGAAGGCTGCTTTTCACACCACAGCAGCACGCGCAAGCACCAACACCACGTACACACAACGTACACAAAATACCGTTCTACAACACATAGGACGTCCTATGTTCGACCAATGCTACTTACCGGGAACATTGACATAAGACTGCGTGTTGACGTACACACTCGGCACTTCCGGGTTGGAGATGTTGATGGGAATGACGTCATCGTTCAAGGAGTGCGATGGCCGCACTGCCTTGTGTTTACTGCTCTGGTGAACAATAGCTGGGCCTGCAGGAACGCACGGTTACCAAGACGGGTACAAGCAGATGTATTTTGTTGAGGTTGTGCCTTCCTCAATTCCCTGTTAGTCAACAAATATTTGGCGCATATTTATTTTTGGCTATTTTTGGCCTGGTCATATTCGTCCGAATTTTTGTTTTGCAAGGATTAAAGTGACAGTCTATACAGGCAGTAGCAGCACACGCCGAAATTCAATGCGGCCGAAATGGGTTTTAGCCCTGGGAGGCCGAAATTTGAATGGGCCGAAAATTTGTCGACTTACAGTATTCGGTCTCTTCTACCTCTCTGTTTTACGTTCTCTTTTTTTGCTGTCACCCATCACTTCATTCATGTTTCATATGCTGATATGGAGACCCCCTCGACTGGCCTTCCAGAATCTGGGGAATCCTGAAATATATAAATTAAATTGCAGAGTATTGGAGCTATTCATAAGAAAAGGGAACTCCCCTTCCTTGAGGCTGGTGCATTCTGAGCAGATATTCACAGACCTAGTGTTATGTAAGTAGTTATTGCAAGTGGTTGTACTATCATGATGCCTGCGTGCACGCGCATGTGTGTTCATGTGTATGTATGTGTAAACTATAGTGGCATCATCCCTGGAGTGCTCCGCCTGTCACCGGACCTTTCGCTCGACTAGCGGCCAGACACGTCACCGATGCAGCAGGGTGACTAGTACCATTTGACCTGTCCCTTCAGGGACTGCGTAGCCAGGCTTGGCAGCAGGATAAAGATCAAGATGTGTGTGCGTGTGTGCACGCATTGGTATTTGACATCAGCATTTCATTTCAAGGAATCTCAAACAGGGGAATAGATGCCTATAATATTTTTATATTATGGTCACTCTGGGCTTCTCATCATCACACACACACGCGCAGCTCTGTGTCTAGTAGACCTACCGGAGTCAGATCTTGGAACCTTTCTCTGTGATTGTTGCGGCGGCATCGGGTTTGGCGGTGGTGTGGACTGTTGGGCGACTTCATTCTCGGGCAGTGTTGGGGGAGGTCGGTTGGGCTTGGGTTTACGCTTGGGGCAAAGCTGTAGGAAGGCTGCGGGTGCCCAACCTTCAACAGCCTCTCCGCCAGCTGTGGATACACAGGTATGCGCAGGCATGCACACACGCACACACATAAGCACGCACGCACACACACACACATGCACACATATGCACACACATGCACACACACACACACACACACACACACACACACACACACACACACACACACACACACACACACACACACACACATCACAAGTAAAAAACAATTATCAACAACAATCAAAATGTGAGCTCATGTTATCGATAGGCGAATACGAGAGAGCTTGGAAGCTCAGGGCCTTACGCTTTGCTTTTTTGCCTTGATGACCTAGACAAAAAAAAGCATAGGGATGTTATAAATTCTTTAAAAAAATCCTTTTTTTAAGACATAACCTGGGATTCGAACCCGCACTATCGCGCGCCCTGCATGCATCCCCCCGATACACTTCGCATACTCTATTCTTCCAAGTTGTTTCACATTGTGATCTTGCATTTGAAAGCCCTATTTGAATATGCATTGTGGCCAGCCGTCTTTGATGGCACGGTACGGTAGGGGATAGGTACGGGACAGGTACGATCGAGGGTAATACGACACCGTCTAGCTGCCCGCAATATTCAAATAGGGCTTTCAAACGCAAGATAATAACGTGAAGCAACTTGGAAGAATGGGTATGAATGCGAAGTGTATGGGGAATGCATGTAGGGCGATAGTACAGTGCGGGTTCGAATCCCAGGATTTGCCTGAAAAAAGATAGGAGAATTGAAAAAATTATAACATCCTATGCTTTTTTGCCGTCAGATACGGATAGCGCCAGGCGTGACACAAACACACAAACAAACGAGAGAGCTTGGAAGCTCAGGGCCCTGCGCTATGCTTTGTTGCCTAGCTCATCGTGCATGTTGTTAGAACTGATGGAAATGCTTTTTCCTTTGATTAGCCACATCATTGTATTGCAAAAACGTTTCAATGAGATACTGAAGTAACGTCTTCTGCATAGCTATGGGACCGGCGCTGACTCTGCCGTTCTCGGGCGTTCTGGAGTCGACGGGATGTCTGTCCTGACGTTTCCTGGGACCGGCGCTGACTCTGCCGATCACGGGCGTTCTTCTTCTTCTTATTATTATACTGACGGCAACTAATATCCATTCTGATTGCATTTACTCGTCTCCCTACTTCGTATTCCTTTCCAGAAAATCTCCCCATACAGCAGGGAGACGTTTACATAATAATGACTCCCTGCAATATCTACATGACTGTATATACGTTATAATTATTATGCTATCGGCCTACATGCGATTCCCGGGCTGGTCGACAGGCGGCCCAGCCAGCCTGCTAGTGGGATCTCGGCCTCGCACACATATCCACACAAAATGTTACTGCACTGAATGCATTCCCCCGATACACTTCGCATATATACTCATTCTCTTGATGGTACCGTACTCTTGATGGTACGGGACAGGTACAGGATAGCGCTAGGCATGTCGATGGCACAAACAAACAAAAATATTGTGGCCAGCTGTCTTTGCTGGTACGGTACAGTACGGGACAGATACGGGATAGCGCCAGGCGTGACACAAACAAACAAACAAACAAACAAACAAACAAACACCAAATTAAAGCTGTGTGGACCCTGGCTAGCGCCAGACGTTACTGAAGTAACGTCTTCTGCATAGCTACGGGAAAAATAGTTGAGTTTAATAATTTGATCGTATCTGTAAATGGAGAAGTGTATCAAAGAAATACAGTTGAAGTTGCCTTAAAGGGGAACTGTCACCAAAAAAATTCTTTGTCTTATCTTGTAGTTCTTTGGCTCCTGATCACGATGGTGTCATTCGTTTTTCTCTGCAATGACTGGAAGTGGGTGAAAACTTGAAAAGAAGGTCCCCAAAATTGTCCCGAAGTACCGAGTGACGTCACGCCGGACTTGACCTCCACGCGTACATTCATCGTCAAAAACGAAGTCCAGCCCGTGTGCTGGTCGATCGAGCCAACTGTTCGATGTACGGTGCACGCTTGCCTTCTGAACTCGGACACTCGATGTGTACGTTGTACACAATGAGAACGCCGAAAAGGGACAAAATAAACAAAAGTCGACAGCAGTTTGTCGCACTGGTACTTCCTCCACGAAGCTCCAGCTCTTTTGTTTTATTTGTGATTACGAAGGAGTAGAAGGATGTTTGTTTGCTGTTAGTGCAACACACATACCTCATGCTTGAAAATGATGTCGTTGTATCGAAGCTGAAGGTGGCGGTGTTGCCCAACCGGCTCTGAAATGAAAGACGTCCGAGTTTGTCATCTGCATCTTCAGCAACATCGCCAGATGAATCGCCTTCACGTACCTACATTGCATTCCTTTGGGACTCGGGTTGGTGGTGTTATCGCCGGCCGGAGGAGTACTGTTTTCTGCATACGCACTCATCATCGTGTTGTTCCTCACACGAAAAGTTCAAAACAACGACGTACTTCCGTGCTCACAAAATAAAACTTAGATCCTCGCGGAAGAAGTCAAAAAGGTGAAAGCTCAGCTGCTTCATATTTGATTTGGCTGTGTAGCTGCACGTGGGTCTCTGCCTCTTTGGCATTCTCCTTCGGTATGACGTACCCATCTGTGTTACAGTTCAAAAGGCACACGTACACGTGCACCGTACATTGGAACAGCTAGCTAGCTCGATCGACCAGCACACGGGCCCGGGCTGGACTTCGTTTTTGACGACGAATGTACGCGTGGAGGTCAAGTCCGGCGTGACGTCACTCGGTACTTCGGGACAATTTTGGGCACCTTCTTTTCAAGTTTTCACCCACTTCCAGCCATCGCAGAGAAAAACGGATAACACCATCGTGATCAGGAGCCAAAGAACCACAAGATAAGACAAAGAATTTTTTTGGTGACAGTTCCCCTTTAACCAGATGCCCTTCGTGTAGCGGAAACTGTCCTGACGTGACAAGAGTCTACTTGATCCAGAGACGCACGTTGGATCCACAGAACTTTGGTGCATGACAATTTGTCCGGTCAATACAGGATTCTGTTTTGGTACAGGGTCCGGCAAACACTCAGGTTTTGCTGTATGTCCTATATTTGCGCCAAGGCTTAACCTAGCCATGATGGCTAATCGGACAACACCGGTAGAAAATGTCTACAACAAAATGGCTGATCCAGTCTTCCTATATCCACTTACAGACGCGCTTCTTATCCCGTCGAACTAGGCGTACGTATGCCCATCCATCCTCGATGTCATCTACCTCCACGAAATCTCCCTGATGGAGATTGAGCGTCTCTTGCTCTGATCGATACGCCGACTTGACTTGATACAGGTCCACGTCATCACCACCAATCGTGCTGCCAACACTCTACGACAATGGGAGCAGAAAATACATGGTGTTAATCTCACTCTTTTTTCTCCTATTAGCCACAGGCCATCACGAGAATAACGATTTGAAACAATGGCAGCAGCATCAGTGCCAATAACAGCAGGACAAATACATGTAGCAGTAACAGCAGCGGAATCAACAGCAGCAGCGGTGGCAGAGGTTGCAGCAGAATCAGCCAGATTTTGGTCCACAGTGACAAAGGGCACTGCTGCCTTTAAGCCTTGGCCAAGATACAGTGGCGACAAAAACAGTAGAAAAGGTTAAAGCACATAATGTTCCAGCAACCTACATCCTGCGATAGAGATCTCTCTTCAGAGAAGGTAGTACGTTTGCTAGAGTCTTGATGCTGGGAGAGCGGAGGTAGAACATCAGCTGGTACCTGACGGCGTGTTGCCTTTGCCCTGTTGTCAAGGATTGAGATAGCGATACAAAGAGAGAGAGAGAGAGAGAGAGAGAGAGAGACAGAGAGAGAGAGAGAGAGAGACAGAGAGAGAGACGGAAGGAGAGAGAGACAGAGAGACGGAAGGAGAGAGAGAAATAGACAGACAGAGAGCGTGAGAGGGACATATAGAGAGACGAAGACAGAGAAATAGAGAGGGGCAGAACAACTTTTTGGTTATGTTTGCTTCAACCACTTAGTCACTAAATGTGCAAGTTGAATTGACTCTGTTCCCGGATTCTGTATAACAAAGCTGAAAGGCAGGAAAGGTTTAAACTGGATCAGCGACCAGCTTGACCAACAGCGATAGTATCAGCACATTGGCATAACACTTTGTTTGGTAAGAAAGTTGGTGGAATTACCCTGGTACCCAAGCGTGCCAGGAGCAAGTCGGACCAAGTCTCCGTACACCTAACGAAACGCTAGGTCAATCTTTGGCCGATAGCAATCCATTCCCTTAGTAACAGCAAACCCGGCAGATCCATTCTCAACTGTTCCTTGAACTGGTCTATCGTCACTATGGGAACGTATTTATTTCGTGACAGTCATCCACATACGAGTCGTAGATAGAAGTGAGCAGTTTAACAGGGAATGAGTGTGTTGTCAATCACAAAATTCGGGTTATCATTTGACATCAAGCAGTCTGTCTTTTCTCACAAACTCCCAATAGAGCCGAAGAGACAAATTCATGGAATTCCCGCCATGGCCAAGGTTCACCAGGGGTCACCCCGGAAAGAGATGAGAAGGCAAGAGAGTATTCATACTGTTAATAGGCATCGAATGGCTGCAAAAAGGGGTGTACTGTATAAGCAGAAATATTCGTCTGGAATTTAATTTCGTCTGTTTCGTCCAAGGAGCTTTTGAACTAAATTAAATGCCGGACTAATGTCGATTTGTCCAGCTTTTCAATACACTCTTGTGATCCATGGACGAAATTTTCAACCGGACGAACTCCCTTTCCTTGGAGTTGGACGAAATTATTGACAAAGACGAAATGTTCTGCCTGTACAGTAGGTGCACTGCTCCGTTACCTTGAGAGTCGCTGCGGTTTGTGTTCAGGTTTGTTGGCTGAGCGCTGACTGTCTTTTCTCTGCATGGTGCACAAGCGGCATAAGCAACACACAATGGAAATCACCCACTACCCTAGCAGTACAAGCCTGAATCACGACATGCTGAGTGACGCCCAGCACCAGCAAGAACACACATCACCAATAAATGCCATCAGGGACAGAAAGAGTGGCATTTATAGTGGCTGGGACGGTACAACTTTTTCGGGAAAATTTGACTGCATTTTTGAGTTTATCGGCAAGGTGGAGATGAAATTTGAAAATGTTTTCAAAGGGGAAGAAATTATGCGGATGCATCTGACTTTGCTCACTCTCCTTTCTCTGCAATCACGTTGATTGGACCGAAAACTGGAACATATGAATAAGTTTGCTTCCTAAGAAAAAAATTAATGGTGCACTCGCACGCTGAGAGGAGCAAGCTGACTGCAATGGACCCGCTTTTCACCAAAAAAAAGGGAACACCAACACCCTATTGGATCAAGGCGCAGATGCAGCTCCTAAGCGGTGGGAGATGAGTAGATCAGACCCACCAACAAAGTGGTCAGAAGACCAAAAATCCCATTAACTGCATCCATTTTTCCCTCGCGCCAGGGCACGGGTTCCCAATTAACTGTGGGCCCAGCACGGCTGAAAAATCCCTCTGTTTCTCAGTCATGGCCTTAGACCACCCCACTATGCCTTCCACTACAAACAGAACCTGTAATAGGCGATTCACATGACAGGCAAATCCACATTTGTCAGGTGCCCCCAGCAAGTGAAACGCGAGTCCGCCGTTCACACGGTCGCGGGTGGCGGCCAGAGCTTCCGCGGGTCTACGATGAGTACACGGCGTTACTGTGGTGATAACATAGTGATTTGGAATGAGTACCCAAAGGCAAATGTCGAAACAACAAGGGTTCAAGACTACGACTCGTACCGTACGATCATGAGTACGACCTCACTGGCTCATAATTGTAAAAGTACCCGCAGATGAGTGCATCCTCCTCGGGCAAAAAAGCTCATAGACACTTTTGATTCCCGCGGACAAATTTTGGTCGCGTGCAGGAATATCTCCACGGTGATTTTCCTGTAAACGTGCATTTGCCTGTAAACGTGCATTTGCCTGTCGAGTGAATCGCCTACAAACAGGACCGACGGCATGCAGTTGTTATAGGTCCGTCCGGTCATACCGTAACTTTTCGTGCACTGCGTATTTATTGCAGGTGCAGACGACCAACTCGGCAGTATGCGCAGGTTTGTGGCCAGTACATTTTCATGACCAAGGCCTGAGAAGCCAGGTCCGTTCTGCAGGAGCTGAGTATCTCACAGATCCATACCTGGTGGATGTTTCCCATTCTCTCGTGTATCTTTTGCCTGTACAGCACACAAGAACAGCAGCACAAACAAACGCGGACAAAAACGCATCAGAAGAATGCAGTCGTAGACACGAACGGAGGGCCGCAGCGCCAGGATTTCAGATGGTCAGGCCAAACGAGATACTAGTACAGTAGACTCCTGATGATTATAACCAACACCATTGTGCAAGAGAATTAGTTCTTTGTAGCCGAAGTTTGTTATAACAGAAATGCACTCACACTATACAAGCAGCAAGTCATGATTGACAAGTGGCCCATGACGGTATGAGCGCACTTGGTTACATGCGGCACTGCAAGATTTGGTTCGTTACAAACGAAAACTGTTCGCTATAAAGGGTCAATTTTGGATTGTTTCAAACAGGGACATGGACAAGGTTCGCCATATCATAAGTGGAGTCGACCGTACTTGATTGGAAAGGAAAATTGTTCTGACGGATAGCCCCACTTGCACGAATTGGGTGTGTAAACGTTATCGCCCATGGCCAGACCAGCCGCACTGCCTGCTACAGCCCTGAACTGACGCCCTCGTTACGCAATATATGGCTGTGCGGCATCACCAACGTGCACCATGCACACTCTGATAACTGGCAGGGAAGATACCAAGAATACATGAAAACTAGAGTGTGCAGCCTGGGGCTTTTTCTACTATGGGTGTCTGTCACGGCAGATTTAAGTGATTACAGTCAACTTGGCTAATAACGACTGCGGATATAACGACAATTCGCGAGTAACATAGGATGGCACACTTAACCCTTTAAGAGCCACAGGAAAATTTCAAAATTCTGCATTTTTTCGTGTTCCTTGGATCATAGCTTCAGTTCTACTCACTCAATCCTCACAATCTAGGGCTTCCTGGAAAGGTCTCCGCGAGAGGAAGATAATGAGGTCGATCATGATAGCCAGCACACCGTCTATCCAGCGCTAGATCGCCACGACAGTACGAAAAATGCCCCAAATGCGTCCAATTGCGTCCCGCTCCAGATATTTCATTTTACTCGACCGTGGAGTCCCAATTTTTTCGCTGTGTACTCTTGACAATATCAACAGTGAAACCCGTGCAAATTCGAGTAAACCAGCGTGACGAAAAGTCTCAAAATTCTCAATACTAAAGTCGCACTGCGCGCTTTTGAAATTGCCGCGATCGCGGCTCAACTTACGAGTGATTTATCTCAGGAACCGTTGCTCACAGCGCTTCGCGGATTCTCTCCCGACAGGTGAGAGTTTTCTCTTCGCCCTGGATATTTCGATCACTGGATTTGAGCGGGATTGGACTGAGTTACGATCTTTTGAAGTTTTGCATTTGAATGCGTCGTTTACGACGCATTCAAGTATGGGGCGGCTCTTAAAGGGTTAAGACCTGCATGTGCCTTAGTACCAGTGGGTGCCCATTTCCCAACAGGCTTGAAAGATCGTGCTGTAGATCCAAGACTAGTGGCTCCTTCAGTATGTACCGTGATACTC